CTGCGGCCACGGGGGGCTCTCGGTGAGCTCGGCTGCAGCTGCCTCGTACTACGCGAAACGAGGTGTTAAAGGCGTCAAAACTGAGCTTAAGGTGCGTTTTCATAACTTCACGGTGTTGAACGCCGAGACGCCGTTTTCAAACGGATCCCTTGTTGTGTTTAACGACTTGGGTTCGTTTCTGCACTTGTCACCGTGGGCGCTGTAAGTGAACAGAAAATGGGCTAACTCTGAAGTCATTTGAAGAACCGATTATAAAATCACTGTATTTTGAGTGATCGGTGGCTCAAATGCACTCAGTTCCTAGGGAAAGCGTAGGATTTTTACCAAAGTGGTTTTGGTTTTTTGTTTTGTTTTTTTTTTTTTTAATATACTACTTTCTAGAAAGAGGACTCTTAACACAGCAGCTCACGAAGATCACCCTGTGGTCGGGATTTTTCATATGTATTTTTACCTCCGATGACACCTTATAGGTGAGGCCATAGCAGTTTGGGTACGTGCACTTCTCTTTTCTGGCATGTGGAAGCTGGTGAAAGAAATCTTCTCTGCTGCCTCAGCACTAAACCCGGTATAAAGCACAGTGTGGCTGAGGATCTCTTGGCGTCTTGAGTTAAATTGTGCGGTGAGGGAGAGAAAGGGTAGGTTTTGGATCGGTGAAGTAAGGAGGAATAGTTTCTGTGGTCTGAACAGAGAACATTGCGGGCTGCAGGATCCTCGTAGGCAAAGAGAGAGTATCTGCTTTTTGTAATATTCCTCTGCTTCCACTTTGGTCACGTAGAAAATAAAATTCAGAAATCATTAAAACTGCAGTAGGAAACTTAGTTCCAACCTTTTCTGGACATGTCTACTACTTTGTGAGCAGATCCACGTGCCTGTAATCTTGAAACCTAAAACTTGGGAAAAATAAATGTTTGCCTTCTCTTATTAATATGTTCTCATTTTCCTGAAAGAAGCTGTGGTTCTGTTAAGGGATTGGGTTACTGCCAAACCCTGCGCTTCTCTTGATAATTCTGCTGATAATTCTTTCTACGCTGCTTTTACGGGGCTAGGTTACCTGTAGGGCGATGTGCGTTATACTTACATGTTGCAATGACAAAGAAATCACACAAAAACATGTCATTTTTGTATTTGCTACATTTCTGGTTAGTGGCTGCTTTAGTTACCGGCATTTTTGGTTCTCCCCTGGCTCTCTCTTTCCATGTGGGCATTGTGTTGCTGAAGGGAATCAGCTTAGTGGCCTTGTGAGTCCCAGCGAGGCTGACTTAGCCCTTTGGCTTGGCAGGGATGGATCAAGTGAACTGCACCCATGCTACTTCTGTTGCCTTTTTCTTTTCGAGTGATTTTAACTGGAGGATTTAGCCATTTGCTGTGGATATTCAAGGTTTCTTTTATCACACTGTGTAAGAGTAGGAGTTTGTACCATGTCCCTAAAGAAAATTCTACTTTGTCTTCTGCTGCTTGCCTCGCTTGGATGGAAAGTGGATGCCCTCGATACCAGAGGTATTTGCGTCAGTGTGTACACAAATATGTATGAAGACCTAATGAAAGGGCTTGGTGCAAGAGCTTGTCTTTTTTGTCATCGTTGTTTGCTTTTTTCCAACTATATAATACTGATTTATAGCCACAAAGTGCTCTTACAAGTCCTGGAAACTCCCGCTGGCTTTAAGTGTCTTCAGCTCAGCCAAGCTGTCCTATTGAAGCACAGCGAGACTACTTGTGTAACTGATAAAGGATCGAACGCGTAATTTGCAGAGTGCTTTGCAATCTTTTTGGTAGAAGGTGGCGATAAATGTAGGATGCTGTTAAGCTGATTATAGTGATTAGAGTATTTCACAACTTGATATTTCACAACTTTTTGTATTTGTAGTATATTTCAGTCTCTGAATGCATCTGGGTAAAGAGATGAAAAGAATGCTTATATACTGGGGAAGGGGTGTGATGGTGGTGGGAACTGCTTTTTGTGGCACTTGGGTTTTTTTTAAATAAATAATTATTTTAAACTATTACCAATTCATTAGAATATGCTGAGTTTGTGATTATTTCAGAAAATAAAAAAACCTCCCTTCTCGCCAGTCTGCAGTGAACTAACATTATGCTTGCACTGGAAAGAAAACGGTTTGAACTGGTTTAAAAGTCAGATTTAAACAATGTTAGCTTGAACTGACTTGAAAGCTGAAGTGTATGTTTTAACAATAGAACCAAAATGTATTAAGTTGCCTAAGCTGGTAGGACAACATTTTCTACAGATGTCCCACTTTCGCCTGTGGGCAGAAGGTCCAAGTTGTCTTGGAGCTTTCTTGTTCCCAGCAATCTCAACACGTTCAGAGTAAATATTTTTCTTTCTTTTTTTTTTTCGTATACTACAGCATAAAAGGTTCAACTCCAGTTTTTCTATTTTTTTTTTTTTTCCCAGCCCTCCGCTGAGGGTGTTTCAAACTAGTGTCAGGGTTTATTTCAGCAGTAACATGGCAGTAGGTCTTTTGGCTTCCCTTGTCAGAGAAGTTCACTGCCAAATTGAGTTGAGGTCCTTTTGACCAGTTTCCCTGTGTAGTCTATAACTAATCGGCAGCTTCTAGGTGGTGTTTTCAGATAACACTCTGAGAGGAAAGACACCTTCTGAAACCTCTTGAGGGTAAGAGTTGTTCCGTTAATTCACATTTTCTAGTTCCACGTGGGAACTGGAGTAAGTTGCGGCTTGGTAGTATCGTGTAGGACGTGCTAGAGGTTTTGTAGGGGGTAGGCCAGGGAGTGCGTGTAACTCTGGGTTGGATTCAGAGCATGAGCAGGTCAGTTGTACTCTTAAACGGCTTTACCTTTTTATATGGGCTGGTGTATTCCAGCTGAGTTTGGTCAAATTAATCCTGATTTGTACTGAGTGTGAGTGAGATCAGAATTAGGTTTCTGGGCTTTTTGTGTTGACTAATCCTTGCAGTGCACTGAATCAGAATATGAACCCTGTGAAACTGGGGCAGCTAATTTTGAAGAACTTTAGGAATGCTTTTCATGTGTTCTAACAGGTGGCTTTTTTCTTTCTTCTTTTTTTTCTTATGATTCAAGTAAAAGACCAGTGTTGGTTCTTCAGAATGACTCTCTCTACTCTCAGAGACGTCCTTACACCAGTGAAGATGAGGCCTGGAAAACCTTTCTTGAAAATCCCCTTACAGCAGCTACCAAAGCTATGATGAGCATCAATGGTGACGAAGACAGCGCAGCTGCCCTCGGACTGCTGTATGATTACTACAAGGTAGATTGGCGTGGGTGCCCTCCGGCAGCCAGCGGAGCTCTTGTTCCACCTGTGGAAAAGGTGTCACTTGCTAGAGGATTTTACAGATGCTGTAAATATATCACAAGGACTTTAAACTATGTGGTTTTCAAATGGAAAAAATTCCATGTCTCTCTTTCTGAAAATTGGTTTATTTTTAGCTCGGTAAAATAAGATCCTCTTAGATCTTAATGTGATGGGTCAAAAGCTTCAGCAGCACTTTGCCTGTCGACTCCAGGTTCTGCGGGAGGCAATGTATTATAGAAATGGCCATGAAGAATGAGACTGTGGGAGCATGTCCCTGTCTGACTGTAAATACACATGGAGAAAGAAACCTCTCTCCTTTTGCTTCTGGTGGGACCGTTGGCTTTTGCTGGGGCTTTGATGTGCTACCTTAGTCTCAGCTGATACTAAGCTATAACTACAGATTTTTGGTGGTGTGTGGGGTGGAAGTGTTCATCTGAAGGAGTTGCTGTCTACATCCCTCTAACCTTCAGCTGCCATAATCTGTTAATCCTTTGACAGCTGTGGTTGTCTTCCCCAGCTTTCACAGTCTTCTCAGAGACATGCACCCTCCTAGATGCTCACAGGTGAATTGGACACAGTCAGAGAACCTTTTGGTTTGTGTGGACTACATTTTGCTGAGCTTTCTTTCCTAAGTACCAGAAGTCTAAGCCAGGGTAGCTATCTCCAGTCCACGTCCAAGTCAATGGACTCCAGCATGCATTTCCAGGCAGGGAGATGTTGTGCTCGTGTTAGACGCCTGCGTTACGGTAGCCTGGCTCACCCAGGTGGAGATGACTTTTTTCTTTGCTGAGCGTGCAGGGAGGCCAGGAGGCTGACTTGGCTGGCGTGCCTGACGCTTTGGCTAATGTCTTTTAACAGTAGTGAGTGCAATTGCCACCGTCAGTATGTTCTTCAAGCACAAGGAAAGATTACCTTGTGCATACAAAATTCTTGCCTGCCCTTTCAAGAGTTGAACGTGTCTTACGTATCAAAATATTCCTGTAATGCTTAATATGGAGATTAGCACTCCACACACACGCATGACAAAATGCCACAAACTCACTGGTGTGGATGTTATTCAGCTAGTTTTGTGGGAAAACTGGCTTTCTGCTTTGTGCCCGTGCTTGCTATACTTTTCGGGGGCGGGGAGGGGGGACCTAAACAAACCACCAACACTACCCCCCAAAAAAAACCCCCACAAAACCAATTTTGACCGGAACAATTTTAATCCACAAAATCAATTTTGATTTCTAAACCTGTAGATTACAAAGAGAACGTTGATGTTGATCCTTCACGCTTGGCAAAGCAGAAGGGATTTGCTGTACATTAATGTCTAATTCGGGGTTTCCTCTTATGTTTGGGTATCAGTGGGTGTACAGAAAAATCAGTGGAAGAACAGGTATGCTGCACACTTGGGTGAAGCAAAATGGCTAGAGGTTGAAAGATTTATTGAAGGCTGTTATGAAGTAATGCTAGAAGGATGTTATGAAGTAATGCTAGAAGGACAACGTCTAGGCATTTCTGATACGCCCCCTCTGCAATAATAAAGACAGTTGATGAGATCACCTTCGTATTAGAAAAATAAAACCAACCAAAAAAAATCCAACAAAGCCAAACAACTCGAGTTTTCTTGCTTTTGACTAATGGGCTACCCTGATAGCTCAACTGTGGTTCATAAAGCCTTATGGGAAACAAATTTTTGATCAGCGTCTAGAGTTTGGGAGTGTTGGCCAAACACAGCTTGGAAGACCCTTGTTTTTCAGTGACTGGTTAGTGTTGGCCTCCTAGCAGTCTCCAGCTAGAGGTTCTCCAAATTTTGCTGGTTACTGTGGAAATCCAACAATTCTGGTGTTATTGGAGATTCCAGGTTATGTGAAAGAGCCAGGACTTAGGTTTTAGTCGGGGACTGTTTAGACAAGTATCCTGTTCACCCAGGTGTGCCATCAGCCTTTGAGTTAGCAGTAAAGTTGTGGTTCCCTGCGTTGCACCCAGGCTGGCAAACGCAGGCAGTATCTGAGCAGGTTTCAGCGAAGGAAGGTGGTGGAAGTTTACTCCTCCTTACATCAGAAGGTGTTTGCTTTGCTCATTCGGGAGGTGCGTCGAGGGTGACAAAAGTCCTGGGGACTACGTGGGTTTGCAGAGGAGCTTGTGTGGACTTGCTGTGCGGTTGAGGAGACCTGAGCACCACGGGCTTGTGCCAGTGGCGACAAGAGCCGTTTGGGTTGCTGGGGTGCCAGCTGTGTGCTCCAGTGAACCGAACCACTGCAGGTCTAAGGGTTCACCACCTTCTGTGTGCCTTGGCCTTGCAGTGCAGCCAGGAAAATGGCAGGTGTCTGTGTGTGGATGAGGTAGCTCGTGTCATTGGCGTTGTGGTATGTGGTGTTTTCAGGGCAAATCCTGTCCATGGCATAAAATATGAGGAGCAGTATTGTTCTGCCTTAAATCCAGAGCGCTGGTGGTTACCTTTTGTTTATAAAAGATGTAATATAGTTTGGGCCAGTGTGTTGTATGTGGCCATGCACAAAAATGAGCTGTAGCATCCCAATACGCTTATTGGACCTGATCTTCCCTGAATTCCCTGGTCTCCAAGGAGAAAGGAAAGCCTCAAGTGGTCTTTGAGGAAGTGGCCTAGAGAGCACGTGTTCTTGGGGAAGGGGCTGTGGAGCAGCATCCTTTTGCAAGCCTTGAACTCATCCAGCTAGCTGAACTCCGCCAGCCTGCGGAGGAGAAAACCTTCACCGCCAGCGCAAACCTTGGGGACTCTCCTCTTGATCCTGCTCACCCTGGTCCTGGTGCTCCAGCCAGGGATGGATGGTTTTCTGCACTGGTTTTCCCATCGCCTGGCACTAGCAGGAGCCCAGGGCTGGCACAACTGGCTGAGTCGGCTACCTGGGGATCTGTGGGGCATCGCCTGGGGCAGGCCTGGCATCCCAAAGCCGTGTGAACATCGACCAAGCTGTAATGCTAATAATGGCTGGTACCAGAGAGCAGTGCTTTCTTGATTTGACAAGATGGCTGTGTTTTGGGGAGATAATTTTTTTTATTATTTGGAAGAATGCAATTATAGTATGTCTTGCATTTCCCAGGTTCCAAGGGAGAGAAGATCTTCGACAGCTAAACCAGAGGTAGAACATCCTGACCAAGACCATAGCAAAAGGTATTGGGTTTTATTATTGCTTGTCTGCTTATCTCCCTTTCGTCCTAGACCACCAAAGCTGCTGAAGGAAGGTAACTTGCTGTACTGCAGTGTTGTGCTGGAAGAGAGAAATTGTTTGCTTTTACTCTGTGCCCCAAATTCCCGTGCTGCCCCAGGAACAGGATGTGGATTGGACCACAGTGTGGAGAGCTGAGGCCCAAACTGCTTCTCATCGCCATCCATCTGCTTTCTATGTACTGGTATCATACAGTCAGCGTAACAGAAGCTGCTCTCTTTAACACTAGGCACAGCCTGGTAGCACAGGCACCCCTTCCCAAGGCTGCGGAGGTGACTGGTGACCCTTTTATTTTTGCATATGGTTGCCTCGGTTGCTTACTGCTGATTTTATTCTCAGGTACCAGCAGCATTGCTTCTTCATGCACAGGCTGATAGGGGTGGAAGGACTTCAAAGTGCTTGTGATTTAGTTTTGGTTTTGCGTTGTTTGTGGACTTCTTTTGTATCCTCTAGAACTCCTTTCTTTCTTCCTCTTCCTGCCCTCCCTCTTTTGTGCCTCCCCAAGCAGAAGATGATACTGATTAAGTAAACTTTACAAATGTGAGGTTCATTCAAGCCAAGCTTCCACTCCTACCGTCCTCTTCCTTTGGACAGACTAGAATGCTTTAAGGACTTGAGGTGAGGTTTTGTACTCTGGTCGAGCCAATTGAATGACTTCTTGTTGGGAAGAGCAGTTTGGTTCCCAGCCATGAGTTCCCACTGCTCCCCTTGTACCAGCTCTGGTCTTCCACTGACCCATAACCTAGCAGGAAAAAAAAAGGTGGCTAGTTTCCTGCCAGTGGAACAAGCCAAACTGGCTCACCAAGGGGATGGAGGAGTGTCAGAATTGGTGCAAAGGAGAGGGCAGGACCATGTGGGGAGGGAGAAAGGGAGGGCAGGCTGACTTAGTGGCTGCTAGCTAGGAGGTCGGCTCAGCCACAGATCTGTGTTGTCCTGGCAGGAATGAGTGTGGTGGGGTGAAGAGTGGGAAGTTGTGCAAACCACTCCCGGGAGTCTTGGTGTGGATTTTCTTGGGGGTTTGTGCATGAAAGAGGGGTGTGATTTCCCTATTAGTGCTTCCCAGGTGATGTGCAGTCCTAGGGCAGAGGAGCAACCATATTGCTCTCAATCCTTCTCCGTCTGCCAAAGAGGAGTTTCATGGAGCCTGTGTATGCCGATGTGTGGTGGGAAGGGCCTCAAAGCACTTAGTTTTGGACTGCTGTTTTCCAGGCTGTGAGGATCTGGGCTGTGAAACCTCACCCTTTGCTCCAGTGTAATTCATCTCCACAGTGGGGTTGTTAGCAGTGAGTGAGGTTTTCTTTTTGAATGAATTTCTCAGTTTTTCGGGTTAGGATAGAGCTGTTTTGCACAAGCAGGAGTGTTGGTGTCAGTTGTCCTTGTCCAAAAGGCTGAGAAGTATTTCTAGCTCTTGTTTAATGAGAAAATGAGCTGTATAACTTAGGCTTTTTTTTTTTCCCTCTTTGCCCTTTAAAGGAACAGCATCCCAAATGTGACGGAACAGTCACTCATTTCTGCTGGAGAAAATAGAGTCCAGGTTCTGAAAAATGTGCCTTTCAATATTGTCCTTCCGCACACACCACAGATGGGCATGGACAAGAGAGGCCACCTTACAACCCCTGACACAACGGTCACTGTTTCAATTGCCACGATGCCAACCCATTCCATCAAAACGGAGACGCAACCCCATGGCTTTGCAGTGGGCATCCCACCAAGTGTCTACCACCCCGAGCCCCCCGAGCGGGTGGTGGTCTTCGACAGGAACCTCAATCCTGACCAGTTCAGTTCCAACACCCAACCTCAAAACTCCCAGAGACGAACGCCAGACTCCACCTTCTCAGAGACTTTCAAGGAGGGCGTGCAAGAGGTACCAAGAGAGGCAGTCGCTGTGTGGGTGTGTGCGTGTCTTGACCTGGATGGAGAGATCCAGTTCCATCTTTAATTGTTCTTGTTATGTGAGCCAGAAATCTGTCCAGTGATTTAGGAACAGAAGACTTTCTCAGAAAGGTGCATAAGTATAACTTAGTAAATAAAACCCTCACAACATGAAATCGTTATCAAAAGCAAATGACTAATCTTACTAGTGAGAGAACATTTGGCTTGCAGAGTGTGGAAATAGTTATTTTGATCCATAGCACTGGGCCAGGTTTTGCAAGAGTTTAGCACTCTGTGGTGCCTTTGCAGGTACTGAAGTGACTATGTCTGTAAGCTTCCTTACTGCCAGTTTCTAGGTGTGGTGTGTGTCAGTGGAAAGCAGGTGGTTTAGGTAGAGGCCTTAAGTGAGAGTTAAACCTGGGTGAAAATCTATGGGTTTTGTTTCATGATACCAACTGAAAACAACAGCGTTAGCTGTGTGTTGATTTTTAAGCCAGACCTCAAGGAACTGTGTAGTTATGCCCTTTCTTAGAGATTTGCGAAAGCTTTAAAATGTCACTCTAAGCTGACTCAGAAGGCTTGTGAGATGTTGTGCTTACTTGACACCCAAAAGTTTCGAATTAAAACCCTGCTCAAGTGTCGTGTTTGTACAGTCCGAAAATCAGTTGTTATCTGATGATCAGTTTGCCTGCTAGAAGTTCTGTGGTAAGAAGTATCTGTTTAATCTTGACTTTTCTTGTTGCTGCTGTGTTAATTGTTGTGTTGTTTTGTGTCTAATGCAGGTTTTCTTTCCTACTGAACTGAATCTCCGGATGACCAACATGAATTCAGAAGATTATGTTTTTGACAGCATTTCTGGGTAATGCTTTAAGGCCCCTGTTCGCCTATGTCCTCCTGTTCTCTTACAGTTGTCCACGAGCGAGCAGTACAGCTTATGCCCTTGTGCACCGAGTCTTTGTCAGGCACTGGGGAGGCTGTGGATCTCAAAACCACAACAGTGTCTACTCATTTGAATTCCACAGTTGAAAATCCTACCTGTATCTTTAAGGAAAATGACTTTAAGGAAAACTACATGCAGGGTTGGAAATACCACCCAGTTTTAGTTGCTGTCCTTGTACCAACTCCCTGTCACGTGTGAAAATGCAATGCTGTCTGTCAGCTCTGCAGTGGTCTTGGAGTTGGCTTCCAGCTGTGTCCCTCTCCCTGGCCTGCTTGCCTTGCTCTCTCCCTGCTGGAAATCTACAGCAGAAATACGAAGCATGAAACTCATCTGAACTCTAAGGGAAGGGAATAAACTAGTTGTTTGGTTAGTCGCAGTTGACCAAGAGGGGAAAAGGAGAAGACTCTGGCCACTGAATGGCTTATTAGCTTGTGAATTTAATTTAATTGCTAATAGATACTTTTCTGTTCTGTGAGAGCAGCTTGCTGCTCTCAGCCTGTAAGGGAGCTTCCACTCTTGCCTGCTGATGTCTCTTAGGATTTAGCTTGCCAAGAACTTCTCTTAAATATTCATTCATGAAGGAAATGATTGAAAAAGGGGCTCATCCTGTTTTCCAACTTCCTTACCTGTTGATGGTTTAGTGAGTCAACTAACGACTTTGGAATTTCTCCAAATAAAATGTGGAACATTTAATCGGCTTTCCAGGAAAATGCCTTAGCAATCACTGCCTTCTTCGGTCCGTAGGAATAACTTTGAGTACACTCTGGAAGCCTCCAAGTCCCTCCGACAGAAGCCTGGGGACAGCACGATGACTTACCTGAATAAAGGTCAATTTTACCCGATCACGCTGAAAGAAGTCAGCAGCAGTGAAGGAATCCATCACCCCATCAGTAAAGTCCGAGTGAGTGGCAGCTCTTGTGGTTTCTTGGGAAAGAGGGTGTGGGCAATGGTAGCCTTAAACTCTCCCAAAGTGCAGTAATCTAAACCAGCGCATCAGCACTAAGGCCGGCTTACCCACTCTTACGTCAGTGTTCGTTCCTTTGCTGTCCACCTACTTCCAGACCAACCCATCCTGGCTCAGTCTGTTAAGAAGTGGTGTCAGCACTTGTGTAAAGATGATGCAACACTTGGAATGAGATCCTTGAACTCCAGTTAGGAGAGCAGTTCTGCTCATTTCTGTTTGACCCAGAAAGCGCTGCTGTCTGCCTTCCTACTTAGCAGCGGTGTGCCAGGTATACTGTGGGGCATCAAGTTGGAAAGCCTAAAGCAAAAAACTTGATAGCAATGAGAACTTCCAAAACAAATGTACTCTCTGGCCTTTTCTCTTTCATGTGTTTGCATTTTATTTATTTATTTTTTTAATCCTACCCCCTCCCTCTCGCCTTTTAGAGCGTCATCATGGTTGTGTTTGCTGAAGACAAAACGAGGGAAGATCAGCTCAGGCACTGGAAGTACTGGCACTCAAGACAGCACACAGCCAAACAAAGATGCATTGACATAGGTAAGGAACACTGTCATTGCTGATGTCAAACTCCAGGCCTAATTCCTTGGCAAGGTTTGGCTTTCTTGCTAAAGCTTTGTTATTTTAAGGAGCCTTTGGATCATGCACTCTGCTATCCAATGCTTTGCTGAAAGCCCAGATAGAGCTTTTGATTGCTTCGAGCTAATGCTGTAGTTTTTAAGACTCCTTAAAAGAGGCTGATTTTTTGGAGGATTTTGGTTGATGAACAGACTGAGTTTAGGGTTTCACATTGGGAGGTCTAACACCCCATGTCCAAACTGCAGTTGCTTTGGCATATCCTGGTGCTTGTAGCTAAATTGCAGCTTATAGACTCTGTGGCTGTCCTAAATGTTGTGTTTCTTCAAAGGACAAGATCCTTGTAGAAATACCTCGACATTAATGATCCTCCTTCCCACAGCTTCGTTCACAACTGGTCTTTGATACAAGTAAAAAAAGAAAACACTGCAAATTTCCACTTGCCTCCAGACAAGGCTGGGGCTGGCTGGCTTCCAGCCTTCTCTGGCTGAAGGCTGGGTTGTACTCCTCGTCCCTTCCTTCTGTGAATAAAAGCAGGGATTAATCACTTGGCTCTTAAAGCAGACGCGCATGCAAATCTTTGTTTGTTATTGAAGGAGTTTTATTGAGAGCTTATGCCCTTGCTGTACAGGGTAGAGTTTCCCGCACATGGCAGGTTACGGCACAGGCCATGCGATATTTGGGCTGTCTGCCTTTGTCACTGGAGTTTCTAGTTTGGACTCTGCTCCGAGTCCCATTTTCCGTCTTCCTCCTGTTTGTTGATTTTTGGGTTTTTTTTGTATGAGAACCTTTTCCAGCCTTCTTAATGATCCAATCTTAAGTTCAGTTCAGCTTCTTTTGCCCCTAAGGGGTTGCTGAGGAGTTGCAGTTTCTGGCTGCTTTGTGTGATTAAGGACTCCAGATGGTATCACCTCTTCCTCTCCTTCCTGTGTCCTTCTCTCTAACAGCTGACTACAAGGAGAGCTTCAACACCATCAGTAACATTGAGGAGATCGCATACAACGCCATATCCTTCACTTGGGACATCAATGAGGAAGCAAAGGTATGTGACCACTTGTCGTTTTAGCAGATTCAGGGGCTGGGAGAGGGGAAGGGTGTGTGGCCTACCCTGGTGATTAGCATGTAACAAGTTTGTTTACGCTCTTACATTAGGCAAAACCTTCTGGCTATTTCTTAAGAGGGTTTGCATGTGCAACCGCAGAGAGCTTTGCAACTGCTTTAAGGTTCTTGGCAGAACTGCCTACCTGACAGACAAGTACTGACAAAAGGAAGCGCTGAGCGTTTCCAGAGCAGATGAAGTGGCGCAGGAGGTGTGATGGAGCGTAGCTGGGCTTGGCAGTGAGCAGAGTCTCCTGGAGGATCCCAACAGGAGGCGGGGGGCAACTTCTAGGGGGTTAAGGCTTTGGCAATGGGCTTCCATTTAGCAGAAGAGGGAGTAGCCGCTGCCGTTGAGCTCCCAAAGCATGCGTTGCTGAAACCACAGACCCCAGCACCCAGTGACCTATTTCAAGCTGGAGCAGCCTCCTGGTGAGCTCTGGTTTGATCTTTTTTCAGAACTGCAGACACTACAGTAAGTGTGTAAGTAGGGACAGCTTCCCTAGCTAGTAGCTAACTGCAGCTGTTTCAAAAGCTGGAGTGGCTTCAGAAAGGCCCGTGCATCTTCTGGGTACAAGGACAGCAGGTCAGAAAGTGGAGTCGCCTCAGTTCCAAAGGCAGTTCCCACTGGTTTGTTGCTGGAGTCAAAGTGCAGGAGTTTTCTTTACAGAGTTTCATTACTGCCTGGGTTTTTGTTAAAAATTGGAAACAATTTCCTTCAGTTTTTGGAGACTGGCTGTTCCCTTGCTAGTACGTCATATGGTAGTTGCCAGCATCATGGGGAGAACTAGTGATGGCTGCAAAGTGCCACATGTAGGGAGAGCCTAGCTTGGGGGACACACGAGCTCTTGGCAGAGGACGCGAAGGTCCTTCTCTGGAGCTGTGTGCGCCACTATGCTCTGCAGGAGGTACAAGGGGTGGTGTCATCACAAGCTTTGCTCTGTGCTGCACAACAGCAGTGGAGAAGAGAGACGGGAGAGGTGGTATGGGGGCTGTTGTTGGGTTTCAGCTCTGTGGGAGAAGTTCGGGATGCTTGGCAGGCAGCAGCGAGGAGCTGTGTGTGCTGCTGCTGAAAAGGCTGCCTTGCACATTGTATGACATCACTCCTGAGGCTGGCGTTGGGTGCCAGCCTTCCCTGTTCACTGGATTTGGCTTCAGTTGAGTTGAAAGGGATGCCAGGGAGGGCTTTACCTGCTGGAGGATGCTAAAAGGCTGGCATGATTTTTGAAGCATGAAGCACTTTGCTGTGCGAATAAACAGGTGAAGCTTCAGAAGGGCTGTCAAAAGGAGGCAGTAAGTATTCCCAAAATGCTATCCTGCTCCCATAGCCAGTGTAACATTCAAGGAACCTAGGTAGTCAGTGTCCACAAGGTACTCAAGGGCTTAGGATTTGCACACAAGGATGGATCATGCAGACAGAGCGATGATTTCAGATCCCCAAGTTGGAAACACTTGGCAGCTCTGCAGCTGCCTCTCTGCTGGCTGAGCCACCCTACAGGAATAGGGACAGGCCACTAACCCAGGAGCAGGGCTTAGAGCTGGTGCCAAGAACCCTGTGGCTGCCCAAGGAAAGCCATCCCTTCCCACCAGGTGACAGAGCCCAGCCCTATGAGGCAGGTGGTTGTTGCCCAGCTACTCTACAGACCCCTGGATGACTTGTTTCAGTCTATAGTGAGATTGCCAACAGCAGCTTGAAAAGGTCTAAGGATCCTCATGGGGATATTTCAGCTCAGGGCTGAACTTCGTGGGATGAGGTGGTGTGGGGGAGGTGTGAGCCAGACAGGTTTTGTAGCTACAGAGGCAAATTTGCTTCCAGATTCATGGTCTTAGTGTGCGAGATCCATATACTTTGAGCGTTGGTTTGTATGAACCTGAAGAGGGGACTGTTGACACCAAGAGTGCAAGTCTTGGCTCCTGGGATTAGAATTGTATTAAGACAAAAAATACTCTGGACTTTAGTGTTCAAAGAATTGGCAATTTTAGCAAGTGCTCTGTATGTTTAAGTCTCTGTTTAACTTTTTTTTTCCTCCCCCTAAGTGGGTGCTTTTTGTCAATGGTTGGATTTCTCACCAGTAGAGCTGCAGTTCTTTCTCAACTCGTGTGATCTTATCAGGAGATGCCTGAGCCAATTTCAACAATTTTTATTGCATGGTTCATTTACCTTGCATGCTTTCTCTCTCCCCTCCTGTCCCACTCTCTCATTTCCTCCCCCCGACTTTTTTTTCTCCCCCCACCCCCCGACAATAGTCTTGGAAGTATGTGAAGAGAGCTGAGGTTCTGATGCTACAGAAAGTTCTCCACAGTAATAAATACAGTGTCTCACATTTAATAACAGCAGCAGTGTTGCCTGGATGGTATGTTTAACCATCCAGCAAGCCTTGATTATTAGAAATTTGCTTCCTGAGCCCTGGAGTTAATTGGACCAGAGCCAGATGATTCTTCTGGGGTTGTTGCTTCTCCTGTTTCCCTCTTGCTCCCAGTTTTCTGTGGGAATGATTTGATCCTGTGCAGAGGTGTCAAATGGGAGGTGATGAGGCTCTGCATCTGGAGCTTCTGATGTAATTACTCATTTAGGCACCCAGGGCTCTGGGGGTGTGTTGGATTTAAGGTAGAAATATTGGACCAGAGCCAGATGATTCTTCTGGGGTTGTTGCTTCTCCTGTTTCCCTCTTGCTCCCAGTTTTCTGTGGGAATGATTTGATCCTGTGCAGAGGTGTCAAATGGGAGGTGATGAGGCTCTGCATCTGGAGCTTCTGATGTAATTACTCATTTAGGCACCCAGGGCTCTGGGGGTGTGTTGGATTTAAGGTAGAAATAGCGTATTATCACAAGAAGTTGCCCCTGGCAGCTCTGGGACCAGGTACTTGCCAACCACTAGCCCTGGTTGTGGGGCTGTACAGAAATATCATACCTCTGCTGCTTTGCCCATCCAGGAGGGTGTCACCTGCTTGAGAGAATGCTTTGCCAGTCCTCTTGGGGCACTTCAGGGATTTTGTAAAATACAGCTTCCCAATGAAGAAACACTGTTTTCAGGCGATGAGAGTGATGTGCTCCCTTCGTAGCAAGGAGAATGTGTAAATTTTGCAGCTGCAGAGCTGGGGCATGAAAAGGAGGCTTGAGATGCCTTCAGCAGTCAGTATTTCCTAGTTGCGTTGTGCTGGGAGAGCTGAGGGCAATGCCAGGGCTGTGGATGCCGGATGCAGCAGGCAGGTCTGGCTCTGCACGGATGGAGCTGTCACACAGCTGGCTGCGTTGGCATGCTCTTTGTGAGCCCATGTGTGTAGAAACCAGGAGTATTTCATGCATGACAGGCACTTTCTGCTCTGGGACCAGACGGTGTCCATGGGTTTCGGAGCAAATGCTACGTGCTGCTTTCTGGCAGCTCCTCTCTGCCCTCTTCTGTTGCTTTGGGACATCACAGGAGCTGCTGGAAGTTAAGTATTCTCTGACCTTTGCGAGAGTGTGGTCAAGCTGGAAAAGGGCCCAGGATCCAAAGCCTCCTTGCTCTGTGACAGTGAAGGAAGCCGAGGGTGGGGAGGAAGGCCAGTGCTATGAAAGGGAAAGACAGACTGCCCTGAAGGGGTGCTCCTGAGACTGGAAGGAGAGCGAGGTCAGGTTTAGAAAGATTGACGGGAGATGCTACGGAGTGGGGAAGTGGTGATTTGGGTGGGCTTCCAGGTGTCTGTGTTAGAGGTGAGGTCTGACCCCACCACCTGACAGAGCAGGGGAGGGGAAGAATTCAATGGGGAGACAATGATGCTTTGTGAAAAGAAAGAGGGAGATGGTGAACTGGGAAATTAGTTGATGAACTGGTGAGTTATGGGATACTTAGGAAAGCCAGTGCAGCTACTCAGTCAGGAGCCATCCTGGTTGGGTGGAAGTGTGATCTGATGAGTCTGACAAAGATGTGTAGCTGATACTCACTTACATGCAATAGGTAATGCTGGAGTTACCCTGAGGCTTGTGGAGACTTCAGACAGTTTTCCACCCAGTCCCGGACGTCTGCTGTGTTGGGCAGACAGTCAAGGTGGGGTTCTTCTCCAAAGCTTTTAGATGTCTGAACACAAGCTCATCATCTTTCACTTCGGTGACTGCATTAGGGACGTGGTGTCTAGAGGTGGGATGGAGCTTTCTCTGGAAGTGCCTGCCCTTCCTCATTGCCTGAGCAGGCTTGGCCATCTTTAAAATCAGGGGGTTTTAAAGGCAGGGAAGAGGAATCCTATCCTTGCGGCCCTTTTTGTGTCTTTGACCTCTGTGTGTCAATCAGGAGAAGTGTTTGTAGGTTCCAGTAGTGAGTTTTAGAGGCTGGGAACGATCTCTTCCCACATCTGTACAGCATGCCCAGTTCTCCTTCTCTTGGTTGGTACCCATTAGAGGTCTTTTAATGAAGATTGCTACTACGTGGATGGTTAAATGCACATTTCTTTCGGGTGTTTCCTGCTACTCCATGATACTGGCTGTTGTCCTGTTACCTCTGTTGTGTTACCCGTTAGGCTGTGAAGCAAATTCTCTGTCCCTTAACTCTGGCCCGGGGACATGACCTGCTCTCAGGTCAGTGGCAGTTGAACAATCTGGACAGATTGGTTTCCCCAGAGTTAACTGGCTTTGCTGGATCTCGCTTTGGTGAAATCCCATTTGAGCTCCTTCCCTGTGGAGCTGGAGGGTTTGGACCTCATGTCTGAACAGGGCAAGTTGTTGTCTGCACGGTGATTGCCAGAGCCTCCTTGCCCCATGTTTGTAGTCCTAACAGGGCAAAGACCCTGCCGTTGTACTGGGGCACCCTTCCACCCTTGGCAGTGGGTCCCTTCTGAAAGGTAGTGTTGCTCCCAGCAGCTCCTAGGGAAGGGCCCCCGTGGAGGTCTTCTGTCTGGCCTGCTTTAGGCTGCATGCTGGGACAGTAGCCAAAAATGATGTCACTGCACATTAAGGGCTCTATTGTCCTCCCAC